CTACCTTGTTACGACTTCACTCCAGTCACTAGTCCCGCCTTCGGCATCCCTCTCCTTGCGGTTAAGGTGAATTTGGATCCAATTTAGTGATATGGTGGTTAAATTTACTTTGTTTCCCTGTTTAACAACGTGGAGGTCAAGGTTGTATTTTTTCTAGTATAGCGACATGAATGTCAAATTTGGATTTGTTTTTCGATTTCGCGATAGGGAGGTCAAATTTGGTTCGGAGCCTAGTTTAGCGATGTAGAGGTCATATTTGGATTTGTTTTTTTAATGATATGAGCTCAAATTTGAATTTATTTTCCAGATAAGGGACATGAAAGTCTATTTGATTCAATTTGTAGTCGATTCTAGTTTAGGGACATTCCAGCTCATCATTGATTTTTTAGTTTTTGCATTTCTTGAGGGCATCTTTGTAATTTCGACATTAGGGATTGATCCATAATTTCTGAAATAATTTCAGGGGTTGCATTGCAATTTATAGAATTATTAGGGACTGCATTGCAATTTATGAAATTATTAGGGACTGCATTGCAATTTATGAAATTATTAGGGATTGCATTGCAATTTCTAGAACTTTCAAGGTGTAGATTGGAATTTCTGGAATCCTATTCTTTCATTCAATTCTGTTGAAGGTTATCTCCTCCTTAAATTAAGTATTGTCATATTCTTCTTAATAGTTTCTATGCAAGCTCTTGTTTCCTAATCAAATTGCTCCTAATCAAATTGTTTCCTCTAGCAAGTTACGCCATAAAAAAATCATTTTGTTTGCTCTTGTTTAAAAACAATCGTCAATTCATAGAGAACAAGATAATAAAAAAGAATCCAATATTATAAGATCAAACCGAAAATACGGAAGAGTACTAAGACTCTAAAAGGAGTATATGGACTTTGAAAGAGGACATACTCTAGATAAGTATAGAGACTCCATGGAAGAGTACAGTGACACCAGGGAGAGTACAGAGACTTTAAGGAGTACAGAAACTCCATATTGTATTTGAATGTGCAATTTAGTCTAGTGGGGTTGAGACCTCTGAAGCACGGATTCGCCTCCGGAGGCCACGAATCCGTGTCCGACTCGAATCGGACACGGATTCGTCACGACACGTGCATGACACGTGTCGGACACGGTCAATCCGTGTCCGACACGGGTCAACGGTCAAATTAGGCTCGGACACGGTTAAAGGAGCTCGGACACGGCTCAAATTCGCCGAAAGCCGATTCATTCGGGTTGCGGGTTTGGTTGTTAAAATCCAACCCGAACCGTTCGATTAAAAAACACATCCCTATTTCTCAAATCTCCCGTTCGATTCAATCCTCAGTTGACTCAAACGAAAGAAAATAAGAAAAAACCCTAACCCTAACCCTAATCCTCTCTCTCAATCTCTCAGCTTCCACTTCATCTTGAGGTACTTTTTATTTACAAACTTGTTATTTTATGATAGATTCATATTTTAGATTGTTAGTTGAATTTTTAAAATTTTCTATATATAATAATATTTTTTTAAAAAAATCCTTGCCGTATCCCCGTATTCTTTTTTTTTTTGGATTTTGCCGCATCCCATATTCGTGTCCGTTTCCCGTATCCGTATCCGTGCATCATAGGTTGAGACTTTTATTGGTGGCTATAGTTACCAGATGGATGCTTCACATGGAAGGAAATAAGATGAAGGTAAACAAAATCACCTTGCTTTGCTATGGGAGATAGGTGAGACTGATGGGGGATTTTTGCTGATGTTGTAGAGAAGCGGAAAGCTGTTAGAAGGGCTTTTTTGGCTCTCTTCTATGTGGAGTCAGGTGTCGGTTTCTTTTCTTGGCTGATGATGAACTAGGGTTTTTATAAAATATGAGATTTTGATTGGTTAGGATATGGCAACGTGGAGTTTGTTGGATGAGTGGTGATACAATCAAATTCAATTATAAAGCACCTAATCCTTTTTTAATCTTATTCTCTTGATCTTTTGTTTTCAAATAGCCTAACAACATGCTTCTTCACCCGTCTTCGAGTTTGAATTCAAACCTTTTTGCTTCATGCTAGATCAAGTGGAATTGGTTTTGAAATTGGGTCTAAACCAGCTAAGCAAATAATCGGTCAACATCACTTGATTCGTTGGTTTGATCCAATTAATAAAATGTTTATTTCAATCCAAACATTAGATATTTGACATTAACTTCCTGGTTAGAACCCATCATTTGAATGCATCTATTCACCATTTGATGATTTTTTATTTAACAATATCAAAATCATTTATGCCTAGCTTCAAATAGTCCTTTGTAATACATCATTAGAAGCTTTGTTGCATGCCAGTATATATCTGATGTCAAGTATGTCGGTTGCTTTTTTCCCCTCTTTTCTTTCTTATTGTAGATTGCTCATTCTTTTTGCAGCTAGACCCCTTTCCTAAAAAAGCATGATTTAATTCAATGGATACGCATATAGAAAATTTCAATCTTAATGCTTCCAGCTTAAGTCTGGGAAATGTTAAATTACTTGTACCATCTCCACTTGTCAACCCTTTCCTTTTGAGCTGTTAGAATCAAATAATCCATCTCCACTTGTCAACCCTTTCATTTGAAAATTCAGAACCAAGATAACCACATACAAACCATTGAGGCTTTTTTCAAATTATGAAATTCTTTGCATTTTCTAAAATTAGCTTCAACAGCTAGTATTATAAATAATGAGATCATCAGGACTCTCTTAATTGATTCACTAATTTCCCACAGAACTGTTTTCAACAACGTACTTTAACAGACATGATAAGAAATGAGTGTTGTCGTAAGAAGTTAGAGGTAGATCCTATTGAGGATTAAATAATAGAGAACCAATTGAGATAGTTTTGACCGTTGGTGATGCAGGTTGCTAAGTGCACCGGTCGGGAGAAGTGATAAGTTATAGCTAATGGGGCAAGGAAAACTAGATGTAGGTTCAGGAGAACTTGGTTGGAAGCAAGTTATATGGCAATGGTTATACTTTACGGAGGAGATGGCTCTTTGTAAAGTGAATGGAAGGATAAGATTCATATAGTCAGCCCCAAACATTTTGAATAAAAGCTTTGTTTTTGTTGTACTTTTGACCCCCTTTATGAGGTAATTTCAGCGAAAATGCATCAAGGTCTATTGAATTTTAATGGTTCATAGGCTCTATACTTGTCTGATCGAGCTGATTTGAATTGACACTGTTATGAGATTCATGCAAACCATTGCTTTCTACTTTGGGAAGTAGTCTCATGTTTCTTTAAGATCACACTATAATAGATTGCAGAATAGTTATGATGCTCATGTTGTGGTCAAGTTCAGCTTCTGTCTGATGGTGTCCAAATCTGTTTTTACAGTAGACTTCAGTTTGTAACTACTATATTTGGGACCTTCTAGGTTTTCAACTGTTCATGATCTTGTCACATATTTATTTATTTAATCAGATACTGGGACTCAAGGATATTGGATTTGAGAGTGAAACTTTTCATTGTTAAAAGAATAGAATAGACTTTATTTCTAACCTGAAAGAAATTCCCTCTTTCTTGCCTTGGCCTAACATTAAGTTAGCATGTTTGCTGTGTCTACTTTATTCGTTAGTATGAAGTTTCTATTTAAGTTGCTGGATGGAAAAGCTTGTAGATTCACCTGTAATCTTAATCTAAAGGAAATTTACACTTTTCTGACTTTTATTACACTTATCATTTATTTTCACTTGCAGACACCAAGTTGGGTCATCAACAGTTTGAGCCAAGGCAGAATCAGGAATAGGCATTTGATGGTGGGGAAACTAAAAGAAATGTTTTACATCTGAATGACCTCTAACACTTATGGAAGAGAGACTGTCAACAGATGTCAATTTTAAAGGAAAAAAGAATATTGAATTTGGGATTCTTCTCATACTTGTGCATGTATTTACTTACTTCATTTAGTGAAGGTATACATTGGGGATGCTAGAAGGTGTTGTCCTTGTACATGCCTAGCTAGGAAAGTATTAAAACCGTTACGCTTATATTGGCCAAAATTAAAGGTTACATCCCTTGTAAATTATTAGTATAGTACGTACATTTTTGCTCTTATGATAATCAATCTGATTCAATCACGTTTAATATAATATCCAGCTAATAGGTTAACTAACACTAAGATTGCATGTTAATAACCTATATGTAGGTAACATGATTGTGTTTAGATCTACATCCTTTAGGATTCATATGGTAAATTAAGAGCGAAAATGTGGTTGCTTCCTTACTTTTTCCAGGAGATATGAAGGGGAAGGGGCATCCATTGAAGTTTAGGGGACCAAATTGCAAATATCTTGAGATGCATAAAGTGGTACAAATTTCTGTTCTTAGCAGTCTGTTTGTAGCGTGGTGCTCACGTGCACATACACGTGCCTGCCTGCTTATTGTAGATTTGTGATTTCAACAGATAAGACTTGCCTAGCTTACTATGCAATGTGGGAAGGACTTTTTCTCAGATTAGATGAGCTAGCCCGGGAGGTTGCTACTCTGGAATTGGCCATGGTTGACAAGCTTAAATGCTTTAATATTGAATTAGAAACTCTTGGAATAGAAATGATCATATAGTTGGCAGACAATACTAAAGGCATGGAGGAAATGTAGTAACGAGCAGTAGTGGAGCATATAACAGGGACAGATGCACACATGGCCAAATATATGGATACAAATTCCTGTAGAAAGATACCATTGAATGTTAGGAAGAGAAGGAGACATACATATCGACTGCTCTTAAGAATTTCTCTACATAGTTACGTGAAACATTGCTCATCAAATCAACGGTGATGTTCTGTAGTCCTTGAGCCATGATTATTAGACAAATTATAACCTTAGCTTAATTTTGGTCACTTCATTTTAATGTTAATTTTAATATTTTTACTTTCTTTCCTTCAACAGTACTTGAGGCATAAGGTCTTGTAATCAGGTGACCTAAAATATTTATTCAAGATTTTTTAAAAAAGTACATAGTTCTAGATATTTATTAATGCTATTGTATTATGTACTCAGACACTGATGGTTTTGTGATCCCAAGCTTGAGCATTGGAGATTCTGATTCGAGCAATCAGGCGGCACCAGAAGTAACAGATGTTCAACTTCCTCCAAAGGTTTGTATAATCTGCTTTAAAGTTTCTATATAACATTTACAGCTTATAAGTATGGTACTTTTCATAAAATCATTACTATTAAAAGCACCACTTAGGAGAAGTGATAAGATTATAGTTAATGGCCAAAGAGGACCACCTGTAGACTAGAAGGAATTTGGTTGGAAGGAATTAAGAAGGATATGATAATAGTTAATTTAAGGGAGGAGATGGCTAATAATATAAGTGCAGGGAAGAACAGGATTTATGTCGCCATCCACAAAAGTTTGGGATAGGGTTTTGTTGTTTTTATTGAAAATTTTACTCTTCACCTCTGATCCAATCTCCTGAGGCTTTATCTCTAAAACCCTTGCTTGCCCATTAACTGTCCACATTTAGGAAGTTGACACCAATCCATGTTACAAGTATGGAAACCTATTTGGTGGATAAGGAGGGTTTACAATTTGTTCACTCCTCGCAACCTTTAATGACTATGCTCCATTGCTGAACTTTTCTTCCATTTTTGATTTGGAGCAGTTGGATAGTTATAACGAGTTAAACCACACTCATTATCTTCATACAGGTTATAAAGGAACAGGAAAAGATCTATCTGGGTCCTCACGGCGCTCCACCATCTCAAGCTAAGCAACACCAACTAGACTTGAACACTGGAGGAGGACGCAAACAGAGATTTAAGCAGAAACTGAATGAAGCTGATCGCAGGTCTTCTGGTACTACTACTGGACGTGAGAATAAGGTTGAATACATACGTGATCTTGTTGGCAGCAGAATCGGTAATAAAACCACCACGGCTGATGCCATGATGCATCAAGCCTCGACTCGAGACTGGCTGGACCCACATTGCCATGAGTCTCAGTTTGAGAGGTATTCGAATTGAGAGTTCTTGGTTGAACTATACTTTTAGAACTATATGTTTCTCCTTATTGTAGTCGATAAGAGCATGCCCTTGTTATAATGAACCTTGGACTGCTATTACTTCAGAGACTTGTCAAAGTACTTATTATTGATGATCTCCTCAAATATGATAAGACAATTATATAGGGGGCTTTCACAAAATTCATATTCAATCTTTTATCTGTTTGAAAAAGTGTTATATATGCATGCACTCCATATATGAATTGCAATATGATTTTGTGCGAGGCATACTGTAGTTCTTCAGATCAGATCCTTTTGGTGGGGTGGAGAGCGCGAAATGGTTAGGGCTTTAGTAATGGTCGGTGCTTATCTTTAAACCATATTTAACTAGTTTTCAATTTGTTTGGCTCCATTCTGAATCAATTATTGGGCTCTAGCCTTTGTACACTTTCCATTTAGGATCGTCAAATGCATCTTAAACTATCTTTGAACAAAAGACCGGTCATTAGAATTGTCCAAATGGGCCGGCTTGGCCCGGATTTTTGGGTCCTGGCCAGGCAAAATGCCAAGCCTGAACCCAAACCCGGGGTGCTCGGGTGGGGCACGGGTCCGGGTCCAGGCCAAATCGGGCTGGGCTTCGGGCATTTAATTAAAAAATTAGTTTAATCTTATTATATTTATAAAAGTATGTATTAGCATATATACTTATATATTAGTATATAGCTATATATTATATGTAAGTATATATAAGTATACATTAATGATCAAATCATACTATAATTATATATAATATACATTAGAAATATATATATAAGTATATATTAATGACCATATCATACTATAAATTTATATATATTAATGACAATGTACAATTAAAAATATATATAACTATACATTAATGACCATATCATACTATAAAATTATATATAAAAATATAAAAATATAAAAATATATATAATATGTATATAATTAAAAACCGGGCCAGGCCGACAACTGGGTCGGGCTTCACCACCATTCAGCCCGGACGCTGGGGCCCAGAGGCCTGCCGGCCCGGAGCCTGGCCGGCCGGATTTCCAGGCTTTACCCGGTTCCCGGGTACGAGTCCGTACGACCGAGCCGTGCGTCGGGTTAGGTCCGGGCCCAATGCCATTTGGACACCTCTAGTGGTCATGTTAATAAGTAAACAATACAATGTTTTCTTATAGGATTTTTTTAAAATAGTCCGATTTTGCTAAATATTTAGCAAAATCGATCATTTTGTTAAATATTTAGCAAAATCGACCTCTTTTTGGCCAACAGGCCAAAAAGAGGGTGATTTTAGAAAACGCCCAGCTGAAAACATACATGACTACTAGTCCCGTATGTTTTCAAAGGCACTAAACACTGATTAGTGCTCATAGAAAACATACGGGACTAGTAGTCCCATATGATTTCTGGGAGCTCTTTGGTGTTCAAAAAAACGTACGGGACTAGTAGTCCCGTACATAAAACAGAAATATTTTGCCTCCGCCCAGCAAACATACGGGACTACTAGTCCCGTATGTTTTCTGGGTAGAGGCAAAATGCCTCTACTTTATGTACGGGACTACTAGTCCCGTACATTATGTAAAGGCATTTTGCCTCAGCCCAGCAAACATACGGGACTACTAGTCCCGTATATTTGCTGGGCTGAGGCAAAACATGCACATACCTCTAGCTTCGTTTACGACCAAAATTTTCGCCAAAATATATCATCTACATTGTATACATTGATAAAAGTTATAAAATTAGAACATCACAACACAAATCTAAAAAATACACATCATCACAACACAATACAATACATCATCACAACACATAATCCGACGAAATACACAACATCACATCCAAAATTCTACAAAAATACACATCATCACAAAATAATTCCAAATGTATCAAGTCTAACCATACGATAATATGTAGTCTAAGCTAAACAAATCCAAATGCATCAATAAATCCATACGACAATATATAATCTACATGGAAAAACTAACAAAGGAAAAATCCACCCCTCCACGTTGTCTCGATCTTCGCACCCGCTAAGATCGTCGACGGCCTCCTTCGTCTTGAGCTTGTATATGCTCGCTCTCCGGTTGTGTGTGGGGCTGTGACGGCAAAATAATTCCAAATTTCCGTTATCTTTACATAATGCCTATCGATCTTCGTATTGTGGCTTTACGTTTTGTTCAATCCAATTGTGTGCTTCAACTGATAGGGATTTAATTTTCTCTCTACAATGCTCATATACAAGTGAGTCAGTGGCACACCCGGCTTGCCACAATAAATTTTGTAAATTGACCTCTCCATGTTTTCTCTTAAAATTAGCTCTTATATGCCGCAAGCAATAACGGTGATAATGTGGTGCACTCCACCCCTCATGCAAGGCTCGTGGAATTCTTTTTATTCGGTCAGAAATAAAGGTAATAACTCTTGGACTTTGAACAGTCGGAATGTATTTGTAAATACACTGAAAAAACCACTTCCAACTCGATGTATCCTCCACCTCCACAACTGCGAAAGCTACTGGAAATAACCCACCATTTGCATCTACACCGGTCGCAACCAAGAGCACTCCTTTGTATTTGCCATATAAATGTGTTTCATCGATGCTTAAGAGAGGACGACAAAAAGAGAACCCTTTGATAGCGGGCCCAAATGCCCAAAATACCCGGATGAACCTCTCATTTCCGGTGTGATCTCCTTAGACGCTATCTCATATTCCGTACCCAGTTTTTTTCTCTTAACATCTGCAAGATAATGTGGAAGTTTTTGGTAAGATTCTTCCCAATCTCCAAAGATTCTAATCAACGCCTTCCTCCGTGCATCATATGCTTTAAACTTGGATATAATTATGCCTTTCATAGCATGAACCGTTGTAATTATCTGTCCTGGAGTAAGATCAAATTTTCGTCTAACTTCGGGCATAATTAGCTTCATGATATAAGCGAAAGTTGTTGTTTTATGATCATTAGCGATAGTCGGATTGCAACATGTATGAAGTCCGCAATAATTTGAGATCACAAATTGTCCGTTGGATTTTTTCCTAACAGCTGCATTAAGCTTCCATGGGCATTTTAAATTTCTATCGTCTGCAGCACTTGTATAAGCGGCTTGACATTTCTCATTGAAGTAACACTTTACATGGTAGCTAGTTGCGTTGGATTTCACCGGCTTGAATTTGACCCGGTTCCTAATTACCCATTCACGTATAACAAAAATTAAGCTTTTCTTATTCTTGAATAGATCTCCTTTTTTTAAAGTGATATCCTCGGGTCGATCGAAATTAGGACCAGGCTCAACTAACTCAGCTTGTGAGTTATTTACCCACTC